AGTGCTGGCCGACGACCAAAGAAGTCGAAAGCAGACTCCAGATAATGGAGATGCGAATGCTCCGATGGTCGGTAGGCCTCACCCTACTCGATCGCGTCAGGAACGAAGAAGTGCGTAGACGGTTCAACGTCGTGCCCATCCCCACGGTCATGAGGCAGTCCCGGCTACGATGGTTCGGCCACGTGAGCCGCGCCAAGGAAGAATCCATCATCAAATCTGTAATGAAGGTGACTGTCGGAGGAGCGAGACCGCGTGGTAGACCTAAACAACGCTGGATGGACACGATCAAGGCCGATCTAGAGATCGTGAAGGCAGACCCGACACACGTGGCAGACAGAGAGGTGTGGAAGCAGTACTCAAGGACATTAGCGGACCTCGCCCGAGCGCGAGACAAACGCTGAAGAAAAAGAAGAAGAAGAAGAAGAAGATGCATTCAAAAGGATTTGAGCCTTTTAAATTTTAAAATTAAAAGTTTTTTGAATTAAACTATTCATAAGAATTTGCTAATAAATTGGGAGCTCCTTATGAATTCAAATTCCTCTTACTGCAGCAAGAGAAAATTCTATATATTTCTATCTAAAGAGAAACCTAAGATAAAGCTGAGGGGGGGAATTAATTTTCTATTAAGGCTTTTAGGAGAGGGGAAAATGAACTGCAGAAAAAAGATCTGGGAATTTATCAAAGTTTGAAATAAAAATGTATATGTATAAAATAAGAAAAGTGTAACTTCTTATTTAGGTTGTTGTTATTATTATTATTTTATTCATTAAACATGAAACTCAGTCAACTGAACATTTAAAAATGTATCACAAATATCATTGGCTGGTGTTGATGGTTGATACAGGTTGCTGCCAGTATTCTAGGTACCAACCAAGTATCTTCTTAAAATGTACAATGTTCTGAATAGCACAGTTTTTGGCAGTTCCACTAATGTTATTGCAGGAAGTTGCAATTTCTTGATGTATTTTGTAAAATTCTTGGACATGGTAACAAGCAGAAGTGGGATTCTATTGGTTCAGACTGGTTCAGGTGAACCCCTTGCTCTAAAGATCAGCTGGCAGCAAAATGGTTTGCTGAAATGAGCATGTCAGCCTGCCTGCCCACTCCTGCTCCTTCCTGTGCTTTATTTCATCTTTTAGAGCACAGCTGATTCGTATGGCAGAGTGGTTTGGCACACCTCAGCTGTTTTATTCACAAGGACTGCAGTAGAAGGTAAGTATTAGGGCTTTCTTAAAAGTGGAGCGCATGCACGGAGCAAAGCACACGATCACTAAACTGGTTGTTATACCAGTGGAATTCCAGCCCTGGTACCAAATGCCCCTATGATAATGGGTATCACTGTTACATGTTTCATCCATAACCGCATAGTTTCAATGGCCTGGTTGCAATATTTCATGATTTTTTTTCCAATTCTTTTTCTTCAACTCTGGCACCTCCTGGTATAGAGAAATCTTTGCATGCTTTGGTTTTCAACAACTGCGATATCTGGCGTGTTGTGTTCCAAATGACAACCTGTCTGTACTCAAAAGTCCCACAAGATCTTCACCTTCTCATTTTCAACAACTTTTTCCACTTTATGTTCCTATGACTTTTCAGATACAGGTAAGTCATATTTTTTACATAATGACCAGTGGATAAATTTAGAATCACAGAGAACCAAACATGATTGAATGGATAGAATGATCATTGTATAGAACAGCGGAAAGTATAGCAAAGACATTGTTCTGGACTAGCAGGCTCGTAGCCTGCAAATCTGATTGGCCTGCTGAAAGCCGATCGTGATTGGTTGCCATAGACTGATGTGAATGGCCAGTAAACGGGCTGCCGTGATTGGCCCTGCCAAGAGTGGCAACCTCAAATCGCCTTCATTGGCTGCCTAGCCATAGCCAGCCCTATAAAAGGGGCTGCTGTGGCTGGGTTTAGTTGCTCAGACCTGAAGTCACAAATAAAGAGCTTTAGTTACTGTCTGAGTCTTGCCTCCGTTCTTGAACCATCCTCCCAGATATAACACTGGCGACGAGGATGGGATGCGGAGGCAACAGAAGCTATTAAATTGAGCTAGCTGAAGGAGCACGTGGCTGACAGAGTGCAATGACAGCGACATGGCCAGCAGTGCTATACGACCCGCACCATTCGATCCAGCTAGCGAAGACTGGGACTCATACATGGACAGATTTCAAATGTTCCTGGAGTCCAATAACCTCAAAAATGCCACGCCCAGCAAGAAACGAGCCATTTTTCTAACCCATTGTGGACCAGCCATTTTTAAGATGGCTAAAGCCTTAGCCAAGCCAGCTGAAGTTAAGACCATGGATTGGGACACCCTTGCTCCCATCCTGCGCAACCATTACGCCCCAGCCGTGCCAACTCTCATTCACAGGCATGATTTCTATCAGAGGGACCAACGTGAAGGTGAGAGCGTTGGAGATTTTGTGGCAGACTGAGGAACCTGGGTGGCTTGTGTGGCTTCGCCAACCTCGAGGAAGCCATGAGAGATCGCATCGTCCTTGGCCTCAGAGACCCAACCACTCAGAGCAAGATCATGGCCAAGGGAGACATCGTGCTCGCAGATGCCATAGCAGACACCACAGCAGCCGAAGCCACTCGTAAATCGGCAGGACGAATGCATCGAACAAGTGGGACAACCGCCAACCCACCAATGATGCTGGGAAACCTTCAGACAAGTACACATCAACCACCCATCACGAAGACGTCGAGTCATCCTCAGACAGCGAGGAAGAAGTCCACAGGCTCCGGTCAGAACATGAGCAATGGGACCAGAGGGGTCGCAAAGCCAACTACCAATGCGCCGGATGCGGGGGAAACCATCCCCGATCTGAATGCAGATTCTTAGATGCCATATGCCGTTTTTGCGAGAAACGGGGACACATCGCAAAGGTATGCAGAAACAAGAGAAATTCCAGCCCCAGACGGAGAGGGAGCAGCCCAAAGAGAAACGATGGCAACCCCACCATGCAGAGGGACCGCCCTAGCAACCAGTGGAACCGGTACAGCAGACCCCAAAGGTTTAACGACGCCCCCAGACGAGAGGAGGCTCATCAAACCATCATCATCGGCCATGCTTCATCACTTGGTGCTAAAACGATCCGAGTAGAGGTCACGATTAAAAACAAACCATGCAACATGGAAGTCGACTCTGGGTCATCACTATCCATGGTATCCTGGAGAACACTCAAGCAGCTAGTCCCCAACATCTGATGCCAAGACCTCAGTAGTCAGAGAATCATACTAAAAGACTACCAAGGCAACCGGATTCCAGTCGCAGGTACCCGCCATGTGCAGGTCTCGTTCAAGGGACATAAGGCAGATCGGCCAAGTCTATTGGGTCTTCAGTGGTTCGCGCCACTAGGAATCAGAGTGGCTGGCATCCATCACACTGAAGACAATGACTGGGAGGCAGCTCTCGTCCACGATTTCCGAGAAGTGTTCAACGAAAGCCTAGGCAAGTACAAGGGGTCCCCCATTTCATTTAATCTTCGCCCCGACATAGCACCCATTTGTCTAAAGTCATGCCGAGTTCCCTTTGCTCTTAAATCCAAAATTGACGAGCAACTGGACAAATTAATTGCGCAAGGCATGTTAGAACCTATCCCGATGGGAGACACCAATCGTCACCCCCATAAAACCTGACGGGTCCATAAGAATCTGCGGTGACTACAAGGCCACCCTCAATCATGCGCTACAGCAGAGCACCTACCCAGTGCCAGTTGTTCAACATCTCTTGCATTCACTTGGGGGTGGCAAAATATTCGCAAAATTAGATCTGGCCCAAGCGTATCAACAGCTACCAGTTGATCCCGAGACAGCAGAAGCCCAAACTATAGTCACACATCGTGGTGCACTCAAATGCAACAGACTCCAGTTTGGTGTAAGCATAGCCCCAGGCATCTTTCAAAGCCTGATGGAAAGACTATTACAAGGGATAAAAGGGGTCGTGCCCTATTTTGATGACATATTAATAGCAGCACCCACAAAAAACCAATTAGAAAAACGTCTCAAAACGGTCCTACAGAGGTTCAAAAACGCTGGCCTCAAGGTTAAGAAGGAAAAGTGCCAGCTTTGCACAGAAAGGGTGGAGTTTCTTGGCTACCTTTTTGACAAGCAGGGAATCCACCCCACAGAAAAAAAAATTGGCAGCTATCAAAAACGCCCCAAGACCTAAAAACAAAACCGACCTCCAAGCCTTCCTGGGACTTATTAACTTTTATAACATCTTCCTACCCCAGAAGGTGACTGTTGCTGAGCCCCTTCATAGACTACTCGATAAAAGGGCATCCTGGAATTGGGGACGGCGGGAGGAACACGCCTTCCAGCAAGTAAAAGACCTCCTTACCTCAAAGGCAGTACTAATTCAGTATAACGAGACACTACCTTTGACTGTCACGTGTGACGCCTCACCATTTGGGGTAGGGGCCATCCTGAGCCACGTCCTACTAAACGGCTCAGAAGCACCAATTGCATTTTTTTCACGAACTCTATCAAAAACAGAAAGAAACTATAGCCAATTAGATAAGGAAGCCCTTGCTATTGTCTCTGCAATAAAACGTTTTCATGAATATGTTTATGGGAGAGCGTTTTCTATTATAACGGATCATAAGCCACTACTTGGGATCCTGGCAGGCGACAAACCTACTCCACACATTCTCTCCCCCAGAATGACGCGATGGTCGGAATTTCTCGCTGCCTACGACTATCATTTAAAGTACCGCCTGGGGAAATCTATTCCCCACGCAGATGCCTTAAGCCGCTCACTGCTACCCGAGCCACAGGAAGACCCAGCTACCACACTCCCCGTACTGCAGATAGAGACAATGCCATCACCTCCACTAACAGCACAAGACATCACGTTGGAAACCAAAAGAGATTCTTGTTTGGCACGAGTTCTTGGCTGGGTGGAGAGGGGATGGCCAGATTACGACACTAAGGAAATGTTTAAGCCATTTAAAAACAGACAAACGGAACTTTTTTCACAAAAAGGGTGCGTTTTGTGGGGAGACCGAGTTGTTGTACCAACTAAGTTACAAAAAAGGGTCTTGCAAATGCTACATGATGGACACCCAGGCATCGTATGCATGAAAGCGCTGGCAAGAAGTTACGCCTGGTGGCCAGGTATAGATAAACAAATTGAAGCCTGGGTCGCCTCTTGTAACAAATGCCAGGAAAACCACTCAGCTCCACCTAAAGCCCCACCAACAGAATGGGAAACACCCAGGGGGCCTTGGTCTCGCATTCATATTGACTTTGCGGGACCTACGAGAGGCCACACCTTCTTAATAACTGTTGATGCCTTCTCAAACTGGCTTGAGGTCAATAAAATGAAAGCAACCACTACAGAGGCAGTCATTAAAAAACTGAACAGACTTTTTGCCACACACGGGTTACCAGATGTCCTGGTCTCTGACAATGGTCCCCAATTTACTGCCTTAGCCTTTGAACAGTATTTAACGGAATGGGGCATCCGACACGCACTCACATCACCGGATCATCCTGCGGCGAATGGTAGGGCTGAACGAATGGTTCAGTTTACAAAGAAAACCCTGAAGAAAATGGATCAAGGCAACATCCACGACAAAGTCACTAGAATGCTGCTCCTACAACACATCACACCAAAAAGCACGACCAACAAGTGCCCAGCTGAACTCCTGATGGCCAGGAAACTCAGATCCCCTCTAGATCGTTTGCACCCTGCCTACACCCCGGAAAAGCCCCTGGGTTCCAGCAGCAAGCACCGTGTTTTCAAGGTAGGAGACCTTGTCTTCGCAAAAAACTTTTCTGGGGATCCCCTTTGGATTCCTGCCCAGGTAACACAAGTTACGGGCCCCCGCTCCTACTGTCTACTCACCACTGATGGCAGACCATGGAAACGCCATATTGACCAACTGCGCTCCAGACTAACCACATCTTCCAACCCTGACCCTAACTTTGACACTAGGGGGGGAGGGGAAGCAGTGAACTCAGAATTAGAACCAACACCTGTCTATTCCGAGCTATCACCGAGATCACCGCACCATGGTTGGCAACACTCACCAGCTGCAACTGAGACTGGACAGTCGAACGCTTCACCAGGAAGCAGCATCCAGGCAGGTTCAGCGAGCCCCGGGAGCCAGAACGGTAACAGCGAGGCTGAGGACTTCATCACCCCGGAGGCACCAGAGGAGAGCCCTGACCATGACACCGGTTCACCATTTCCGTTTGATCCAGCGAGCAGTCCATCTGAACCCGGGTTTGAACAGGGTCAAGCGGAAGTACGTAAGTCAGGCAGACAGGTGCGAAGACCTGCTTACCTGCGTGACTATATTACTCCACCCCTTAAATGGAACTGAGAGGGGAGGGGTGTTCTGGACTAGCAGGCTCATAGCCTGCAAATCTGATTGGCCTGCTGAAAGCCGATCGTGATTGGTTGCCATAGACTGATGCGATTGGCCAGTAAACGGGCTGCCGTGATTGGCCCTGCCAAGAGCGGCAACCTCAAATCGCCTTCATTGGCTGCCTAGCCACAGCCAGCCCTATAAAAGGGGCTGCTGTGGCTGGGTTTAGTTGCTCAGACCTGAAGTCACAAATAAAGAGCTTTAGTTACTGTCTGAGTCTTGCCTCCGTTCTTGAACCATCCTCCCAGATATAACAGACATTAAGTATCTCATACAAATGCATTGCAAAATAGCTGGAATTCCAGATCTAAATTTCTAATTCATTTATTTAGCTTCATCCTCATGTATTAACAATAGACTGATACTGACCAATCCCAATTCTGAGTATGTTCTTCTAAGGAGGTTCTGAGATGGAGGACTGCTTTCTTAGTATCTTCGAAGTAATGAAAACTATAATCAATTTTCTTTGGTTTTTGCAAAGAGATGCAAAGATGCTGTTTACAGCAAACAATATGAACCTCCAAAAGAAAACTAAAGCAGCAATACTAGGGGCTAGGGAGAATAAACCTACTAAACATATAAGAGCTCATTCCAGGATACATATATTGTTATGTCCCTGGGACTGACACAAGTTCCCCATCAGGTCCGTTCATTCCGCGGGGGCGTTTGCAGCCCCCATTGGCTGGCTCCCTTCGACAGCCGGCTATAAAAGCCGGCTGTGAGGTCGAGCCAGCCGCTGTTCGCTGGTAGGTCTGCCTGTTAGAAGCAGACGCGACAGCCCCCTTTATTCCCCTGAATAAAGCGTGTTAATGTAATGCTCTGGTGTGGCCTCCCCTTTTTCCGATCTATAACATTGGCGACGAGGATGGGATCTGGCCAACCAGCAGCAATATCAAAGAGCTGAAAATCACACACCAAACGCTGAACCGTAGCCGCGTCGTGAGAGCTCGGTCAGCTGTGGATTGCGAAGTGAAAGCGGAGCATGTAGCCGCTCTGTGTAAAAAAAAAAAAAAGCTACGTGAGAAGCAGGGCACTGAGAGCCTCAGCCGCCCAACACTGGAGCGCAGAATTCAACCGCTGTGTCGGATTCTGCTGTTAGCAAGCTTGGCGCTGTACTCGCAGCCGCCAGAACGCATTGGGCGCGCGATTTGAATAGCTGTCAGCACGACGCTACAGCTATAGCCACCTACGCCTTTGTAAAGGCGCGAAATTCAAACGGAAGTCAGTTACGGCTACAGCCATAGCCGACAGAGTCACATAGAGCGTGAAACACAGAGAGAACCTCTAAGAGCTGAAACACTAAGCTGGAGCAGAGCTGCAAGCTACTGTTGCCACACTTATCAGGGCCATTGTATTCCCAGTGAGATTGGTCAGTCTACCAACAGACTGAAAACCCAATATGAATTCAAATCCGGCATTTCCGTCATTCAAGCCAGATGAAGACAAGTGGGACTCTTACAGAAACCGCTTCAATCACTACATAGATGCCATTGGTCTGGCCGATGCTACAGAGAACAGGAAGAAATCGTACTTCCTGAGTTACTGCGGGGCCACAGTGTTCGATACCGCCACAGCGCTATTTGCACCCAGAGAGTTAAAGAGCGTCCCCTGGTCCGAGCTGTTAGAGACGCTCTCTAACCACTATTCCCCAAAACCATCGCAGATCGCGAGACGTTTTGCCTTTCGTATGAGGAAGCAAGCAGATGGGGAATCTATCAATCAGTATTTGGCCGCCCTGAGAACCGCAGCTCTCCACTGCGAATTTAAAAACTACCTAGACGACATGCTCCTTGACCAACTCGTCTGTGGAGTCAGAGACTTAAGATTGCAGAGGCGTCTGCTGGCTAGAAAAGACCTCAACCTCACTCAAGTGATTGAGGAAGCCTTGGCAGCAGAGCTAGCGACCCAATCAGCCGCCGAAATACAAGGGAGCGGGGCCAAATCCAGTCCAGTCACCATCCACTCAAAGGAGGTGGTGAGCGAAGAAGACCCCGTCGAGCACTTAGAAGTTCATCGGCTCAAGCCATCCAAGCAGCACAGGTAGGAACTAGGCCTGGGAATGGCAACGCGTCCAAACACATCCTGTTGTGCCTCGCCTGCGGGGGTTCCCATGCCAGAACGACTTGCAGGTTCAGGAACGCCACCTGCAACAATTGCGGAAAGAAAGGCCACATCGCCAGAGCCTGCCAGGCAACACACGTGGCTCCACAAAAGGCAGCGTCCTTTTACTCCCCTCCGGGGCCACCCAGGCAAGTATAAAATTGTTACACGTGCTACCAAGCTAATCACACTTTTCTGACACCTAACAAAATCACGCTTTCTATCCATTTAGAAGGTAAACCCTGTCTTATGGAAGTCGATACCGGGTCAGCACTCTCGATCATCTCATGGAGCACGCTCAAGAAACTACGACCCAGCCTGTCCAGAAACCAACTACAGAAGAGTCGTCTCACCTTGAGGGACTATCAGGGGAAGAACATCCCAGTACTCGGAACAGGCAAGTTCCTCATTAAATTCAAATCCTTTAAAGGCCATCTGCCTTTAGTGGTGGTAGATGGTGCCCTCCCTAGCCTTTTGGGGTTGGATTGGTTCCCCTATCTCGGCCTTAGCTTAACGGGAGTTCATGCTGTCTCACCTTCCGATATCGACTCGCTATTTTCAGACTATGCTGATGTGTTCAGCGATGAATTGGGTTGTTATAAGGGTACGCCCATCTCCTTTTCAGTGGACCCCCAAGCAGTTCCCGTCCGTTTAAAGCCACGCAGAGTACCATTTGCTCTGCGCTCTAAACTGGACGCGGAACTGGACAAATTGCTCAAACAAGGGGTGATCGAGCCCACGGATTTTGCTAAGTGGGAGACCCCAATTGTCACACCCCTAAAAAAAGATGGCAGTATAAGAATGTGTTCTGACTACAAGACCACAATTAACCGCTATCTGCAGACTAGCGCATACCCAGTTCCGGTGATCCAACACTTACTTCACACATTTGAACCGGGAACCATATTTGCCAAATTGGATATGTCACAGGCTTATCAACAGTTTCCTGTAGACAACCAAACGGCCGAATTGCAAACAATTGTCACCTACAGAGGGGCATTCCGATGCAAACGTCTCCAATTTGGCGTTAGCGTCGCTCCAGGCATATTTCAGTCATTAATGGAACGGATACTGCAAGGCCTCCCTGGCGTGGTCCCGTATTTTGATGACATTTTGGTATCAGCCAGGGACAGACCCCAACTTCTCCTCAGAGTCAGAGCGGTATTGGATAGGTTCAGACAGCATGGCCTCAAACTAAAAAGGGAGAAGTGTGCCATCGCCACTAAGCAGGTGGACTTTCTTGGGTATAAAATAGACGCCTCAGGCATCCACCCGGTGGAATCTAAAGTCAGAGCCATTCACGAGGCACCCACTCCTTCTTCCAAATCAGAGTTACAGGCTTTCCTGGGTTTGCTAAACTTCTATGCATCGTTCCTACCCCATAAAGCATCAGTAGCAGAACCGCTGCATAGACTTCTAGACAAAAACACTCCATGGCATTGGGGACCCAAAGAGGATTACGCCTTTAAGGCAGTTAAATCGCTGCTCACCTCGGACGCTGTCCTAATACAATTTGACCAACGCCTTCCTCTAGTCCTAGCAGCAGACGCCTCACCTTTCGGGATTGGGGCTGTCTTGAGTCACAGACTTCCCAATGGCTCTAAAGCCCCAATCGCATTCTTTTTGAGAACCTTTTCAACAACTGAACGTAACTACAGCCAAATTGACAAAGAGGCCCTAGCCGCCGTAGCGGCAGTCAAAAAATTCCATGAATTCCTTTTTGGTCACAATTTCGAACTTGTCACAGACCACAAACCACTGTTGGGGCTTCTCTCAGGTGAAAAGCAAACACCGCAAGTCTTGTCACCTAGGATGACTAGGTGGACCTTATTACTGGCGGCTTACTCGTACAAACTAGTTCACCGTCCAGGAAAACACCTGAGCCACGCCGACGCCCTCAGGCGCTGCCCGTTGCCAGCACCCGTGGAGGACCCGGCCCCGGTACATGCCATTTTCGATGCCAGTGAGTTCAACATTCCCATCACTGCCGGCGACATCGCCCTCCACTCCAAAAAAGACAAACTTATCACCCAGGTTCTGGACTGGGTACGGAGGGGGTGGCCGGGCAACGATCTATCAACTGAATTCTCACTGTTTAAAACCCGCCAGCAAGAGCTTTCCAGTTTGCAGGGCTGCCTGTTGTGGGGGACCAGAGTTGTCATTCCAGAACCACTGCGCACACCCGTCCTGAAGGCGTTGCACGAGGGACATCCCGGCATCGTCCGGATGAAAGCGTTGGCTCGAAGTTACATCTGGTGGCCGGGCATGGATGACGAAATAGCAAAATGGGTAAGCTCCTGCCGTCCCTGTCAGGAATCCAGGCCAGCACTGCCAACCACCACCCCAACCAAATGGGAAAGTGCCAACGCACCGTGGTCACGTTTGCACATTGACCTGGCCGGGCCATTCCACGGCAAGACTTTCCTGGTGGTCATTGATTCATTCTCAAAATGGATCGATGTGGCCCTCCTACTCGCGACCACCACCCGAGCAATTGCCCAGGCTCTGACCCGCCTATTTGTTACACACGGTCTGCCTGACACCATAGTCTCAGACAATGGGCCCCAATTTACGTCCACAGAATTCAGCCGGTATGTCACCAACCTGGGCGTCCGACATATCCTGACGGCTCCCTTTCACCCCGCTAGCAATGGGTTGGCGGAGAGAGCCGTTAGAACAGCAAAAGAGGCGTTGGCAAGATTCACTCAAGACGACTGGCACTCCAGACTCTCTCGTTTTCTTTTGAGCCAACACTCGACCCCATGCACTGTCACAAATAAGTCTCCAGCCGAGCTACTGATGGGCAGACGTTTAAGGACAGTGTTAGATAGACTGCATCCCCACTATTGCCCTGACACACCAATTGGTTTTAACAGTAGGGTCAGGAGTTTTGTTTTACAGGACCGAGTGTTTGTCCGGAACTACGCGGGCAATCCGTTGTGGGTACCCGGAAGGATCGTGGCCATCACCGGTCCGAGATCATACCGCATCCAGCTGGAGGACGGGCGTGTCTGGCGGAGGCATCTGGACCAGATAAGAAGTCGCCAGAGCGAATTTGCCAACTCTGATCCAGGGACTCCAGGAACACTACAGTCGCCACTTCCGAATCTGAGTTGGGACCACCAGAGTGACCAGCCGCCACCGATCGAACCGAGGGAACGGACGGTAGACCGGGACCGTCCATCGGAATCACCAGCCTTTCTGTCCAATGACACTACCGGGTTGCGTGAAAATGACAGTTCAACAATCCAACCCGAAGACTGTGCTCATTCACAGACTCCAGACCGGGTTCCGGGGTGATCCTGTGTTCGAGCAAAACCCGTTCCTGACCCACCGAACTCTGTGCCACTTTGTGACTCACCAGAATTGCGCCGGTCAGGACGCTCACATAGACCACCCGCTTACTTGAAAGACTATTTGTGTTCGTATCTGGGGGGAAGGGGTGTTATGTCCCCGGGACTGACACAAGTTCCCCATCAGGTCCGTTCATTCCATGGGGGCATTTGCAGCCCCCATTGGCTGGCTCCCTTCGACAGCCGGCTATAAAAGCCAGCTGAGAGGTCGAGCCAGCCGCTGTTCGCTGGTAGGTCTGCCTGTTAGAAGCAGACGCGACAGCCCCCTTTATTCCCCTGAATAAAGCGTGTTAATGTAATGCTCTGGTGTGGCCTCCCCTTTTTCCGATCTATAACATATATAAAGGATACTAACATTACAGTAATAAAATATACATTATGAAAAATATATAGACCTTATTCTCTCATCACTATTAGAATTACAGATTCATTACCACTCTACTCCCCACCAGCAGATTAACACTTTTAATTTGGAGCTAGTAACAATGTGTCTCCAAACTGATGGTTTTATTTTTCTTAGTTTTTGTTGAATGGGATTGATTTGCTTGTTTAGTTTGATAATGTTAACAACCAGGAAAAGCAGAAAATGGTAGGCTTCCTTACCCATTAATGCTGACAGAAGTAGGAGCAAGTGAATTTCACTGAAAGCCTCAAGGCTGTGCTGTTTAACTATTTGCCAATCTTCCGTTGTGTGCTTGTACCAGGAAATGATCAAGCAAGAAGAATCCAAATCATTCAGAAAAATTGGGGGAGGCTGACATACTCAATAAAAGGGAATGGAAGCCAACTAACAAAAGAAACAGGGCTAGATGCTGGTCTAGAATGTTAACCCATAAGTTCAAGTGTTCTTAGTAACTTCCCGTCTCTTCTAAAAATTCTCCTGATGTAGCCAATTTTCTAGGTTGTCATTAAAATGCAAAAACAAGTAAGATCTTATTTTTTCATGCTTAATTTTCTATCCTACTGATTTTTTTTACCATCTGTTTTACATTCACTTTATGATTTTATATTGCATTTGGAAATGGTAATCAAAGCTGAACTCAGCTTCTAGAAATAACTTGACATGGTAATAATATAGTGTACCAATATTTCAGTGTTGTCAATATTTAACAGCTTTATGATATCCCTGATAAAAATAGAAAAGGGAACTGCTGCTGTTTGCCCTAAATCATGAATTAGTAATTTCACTATGAGAAGAAGTCTCTATAAAGCTCCAAAAGAAAACAGTAAAGAAAGAAAAATGGGAAGGCTAGAGCTGTTACTAAAGCAATTACTTGTAAAGTCTCTTTCATGCTGAGTTTGACTCCATAGCTATGCAGTTCTCTTGATAATTCTATATAAAGAGATGGACAAGTGCCTTTTTCTGGATTTATTTTAAACTTCCAAGTCTAATTTACTTCCAAGCCTTAAATTTGCTAGTGATTTTATACCCAAGTAGGCAGTGGTGCAATCCAACCAGTGTAACACCTGGTTATGCGGACATGTTCCACATTTTTAAAAGCCTCTAATACTTGCCTTCAACTGCAGCCTCTGTGAATAAAACAGCTGAAGCATGGCAAACCGCTCTGCCATGTGAATCAGCTGTACTTTAAATGAAGGAAATAAAGCACAGGAAAGAGCAGGGGCGGGTGGGTTGGCCCACATGCTCGTCGCAGTGAACCAGTTCGGAGTCAGCTGATCATTGGGTTCGCCTGAACCAGTCCAAACCAGGAGAATCCCACCCCTGCAAATAGACATAGAAATTGAGAACCAATTTGGTTAAGGTATCAGGTTAAAAACTGGGACACAGTGAGTTCTGGTACTGCCTAAGGCACAAAGCCAGCTGGATGATCTCTTTCTCTCAGCCCTAGAAGGGAATAAATGGCAAGCCATTTCTGGGTGGGGGGACGGGGGGAGGATGGACGACTTGCTATGAAAACCACATGGACTTGTCCAGGCAGCCTCAGAGAATCACATACAATTGAACAGAAGAAAAAAAGGGACAGAGATTAACTAACATTTGCCACCTGTCGTGACTTTCAAATGTATATAAAGGTTAGACACTTTGCTCAAATTTTATGTTTGCATGTACATTTCTCTGGTGTACTACTTGTGCATCATGGAATACTTTACAATATACTCCATACTGTTAAGTTTAGCATACTGAGCTCTGTAAGTAAAACTACATACATAGTCTATTGCTACAATGATAATACATGCACACTCTAGAATCTTATCCTATTTAGATATATTCTGATTATTAAATTGTTTGCTACAAAGTACTCATTAAAAATATTAAATTAATTTCAACAATTAAATGCTTGAGGCATCATAAGCACAAACACACACACACTCACTCACTCACTCACACACACACACACACACACACACACACATCCCATATACATAAGATATACGGGTAAATGCATATTACTTCGATTTCATATACTGAAGTAAACATAGTTGCAAATAATATAGGAAAGTCTATCAGGATATTTGATTCCAGATGCATTTAACTTTATTTGAACTGTCAAAATGGAGGTGGGGGAAGGATGCATTTTTGAAGCAGAGTTTTTAAAAAAGCACTGCAATTTTGAGCTTTGTAAGCCTCTTAGGCTGCCTTCCTAGAGAGCCCCGATGGCTTATCTGAGAATTTAAACTGTGGCCCTTTTTATTGATTGCTTGATTATGTACTGTTAAGTTGATTTTGACTCCTAGAGATCTTTTTTCTGATAAATCCTTCCCATATTTCTTTTGTTTAGGAAGGTTTTGTTTTGTTTTTCTCTTTAATGGAGTTCTGTTCTGGTGCCAAAATTAACACCCTATTTTTTTGTCTTAGTTAGACTACTAAAGTTCTTGTCTAATATATTTCCTCCCCACACCTCCCCAGAGCAAGCAAAATTAGCTATTATATCATTAGCATGGCAATTCTCTTTTCTGGCATATTTTCAGCTAAAAGAACAATCACTCCCTTGTCTGTTGAAACAATGTGGGAAAGAAATTTAGCATGCAAGAAAACATTCAGGGAAGCTAAATAGATGTTTTGGGTTCAAATCTTGGTATCTCTTCTCTTCTCTTCTCTCCTCTCCTCTCCTCTCCTCTGCCCTCTCTCTGTCCCTCTTTCCCCAATTTTTAAAATAAAGAACTTACAGGTAACAATGAATACTTCTGCTAGAAATGTTAGGCAATAATTTCCAATTAAGATAGACAACACTAGATGGCAAATAAGCTTAACTGGTTTAATTCCTATATGTAAGCCACAGACACAGAGTATTCTGCTTACAGAACAGGCCTTTATTACAACAATGGCCTATTTTTCATCTGTGAATACTTGAAAAATAACTTCTGCCTTTTAATTTAAAAAAAAAATGCTTAAATACTTGGGAAATGAAAATCAGTAATAAAAGTTCAGGTCCCGGAAAACAGCTGAAAATCCAGAGACCTATCCCTCCATCCCCATCATCCAGGTACAACTGATGAAACTTTGTAGATGAGAAGCAAAACATCATCTTCTTCTTCTTCCTCAAAAAACAGTCCAGTTTCCTTTTGAAGAAAAAAATCAGCTTTGAGATAACTATGACCTGGATTACTTCATAGACAGTACACTGGAAATTCTACTCCTACGTGAAAGCTGACTGGATGACCTTGGGCCTATTACTCTTTCTTAGTCCAATCTACCTCACAGAATTGTTGTCAAGGGAACATAGGAGAAACAGAAAGTATTGTGTATATTTGCCTCCTTGTGTTACTTACAAAGTAATAGAGATGGGATAATAAAAAAAAATCTATTATTCTGAGAGAAAATAAAACTGAGGAGGGGATGTTTGAATACAAAATGGAGAGGGGAATAAAAAAATTGAAGTATGGAAACAGATGTCATTTACATATATCCTTTGTTGATTGTTATGTCTTTGGATCTGGTTGGAGTTCCCAACCAGGTCCGCACTTTAGGCGGGAGCATCAGCAGCTCCCATTGGTTGGCTCCGTTTGACAATCGGCTATAAAGCCGGCTGCCGGACAGAGCCAGCCGTTGTTGTCCTCTAGCAGTCTGCCTAGTTAGCGGGCAGACACAACAACCCTTTATTCCCCCGAATAAAGCCTTTACTTGCATGCTCTGGTCTTGGCCTCGTTTGTCCCTTCGCTCTACAACACTGGCGACGAAGGTGGGATCACTACAGGCTAGCCAGAAGCACCGAAATCAAAAGAGCTGAAACCACGGTGTTGGGATCGTAGTTGCCTCGCTCACAGAGAGCTCGAGCTCAAACCGCTGCAATCGGAGCTGAAAGTCACGGTGCTGACAGCCTCAGCCGCCCCGCTCGCAAAGAGCGCGAAATTCAAACCACTGCCGTTTGAATTCAAATCACGCAAGCGAAGCACGGCACTGTAGTCACAGTCGCCAACGCTCCCAATGAGCACTATTCCTCAACCGTTACCACTGAGCTGAAGTCATTGAAGCTAGTACGGCGTGTTAGCCGCCGCCGCCAATGCTCATGAAGGGCGCGA